CCGCGAGTCGGCTATATATATACGAACTGGCTATATCTCTAACTAGAAGATAGATAGATATCAGATCTTCAATCGTATCAGGTCCTCCGAACAAACAAAAAAAAACTCAAAACCCTAGTTTTCGTTTTCTCTCTCGATCGAATCAGAAAGTAGTGAGTGAATTAGCTATTGCGATGGGGTCTAGATCTCGGAATGAAAATTTCCAGTCCGGCGATGGAGCTAGTCCTGGGTATGTTTTCTACCTTACTGTTTGCATGTTTGAATCTAGATAATAAATGAATCAATTAGGGCAAAATTATTGTTATCTCTGGCTTTAATTTGTGTTTTCTTAAGGTTTTGTTGGGTTGGTTAGAGGTTAAATTTGTGTTATTTGTGTCGCAGGAAGATATTCATCGGTGGATTACACAAAGACACCACTAACAGTAAGCCTTCGTTTTAAGCTTTGTTATTGTATCTATTGTTGATGTAGCTGGATTACGGATTGTTGTATGTGTGTGTCTGTAATGTTAGGCCTTTTGGGATGCTGATTTGCCTTGCTCATGTTGATTTTTGTTCTGCAGCTGTGTTTAATAAGCACTTTGGGAAGTACGGGGAGATTACAGATTCTGTCATTATGCGAGATCGTCATACCGGACAACCAAGGGGTTTCGGTTTCATCACCTATGCTGACGCTTCTGTAGTTGATAAAGTTATCGAAGATGATCATATCATCAATGGCAAACAGGTCTCTTACGCCACTTCTCTTTATCCCTACACTATTGATGTATATCATTTAACCAATATTTGATTAGGTATCTGTTGGATTAACGATGTACTAAGGATTCGCCAAATTTATCATTGATTGTTAGTTTTCTGATGTTTAGTAGCTTACCTCTGATAAGTCTTGATCAATACCTTTTTTTTTTTTTACTGATGGAACAGGTTGAGATCAAGCGGACTATTCCGAAAGGTGCTGGTGGCAATCAGTCAAAGGATATCAAAACAAAGAAGATTTTTGTTGGTGGTATACCCTCAACTGTTACAGAAGGTATATACCTGCCTCTTGGCACATCTTCAAGTTATTACCTCTCATGATATTGTTTGTTTTATGTGCTTATTGCTCTGCTTTTTTGTTGGTCAGATGAACTTAAGGACTTCTTTGCCAAGTATGGGACTGTGGTGGAGCACCAGATTATCAGAGACCATGAAACAAACAGGTCCCGTGGTTTTGGTTTTGTAATTTTTGACAGTGAAGAGGTCGTAGATGAATTATTGTCCAAAGGAAACATGATCGATATGGCAGACACTCAGGTAAAAGCTTGTTTGAATGGGGCCTAGAATTGTGGTACATGAAGGCATATATCTCTCCTGGTTTTAATTTAAAATTTTCTTCTTGTTCCTTTGATTATACATATAAACTTAGTTAGTATTCTACCCATTAGTTTCTGCCAAATGTAAGGAGGTTGTGACAGTAAGCTAGGAAATCCACGCTATAGTTTGCATCCAAAAACATAGCTAGGTTAATTAAGTTGCTTTGTTGTAGGTGGAGATCAAGAAAGCAGAACCAAAGAAATCTTCAAACCGTTCACCTCCTCCTTACGGTAGTCACCCTAGAGGTCGTTCGATTAATGATAGTTATGCCGGTTATGGTGGGCCTTATGGAGGGTTTGATGGGTATGGTCCTCCAGGTCCCATTAGGTCACATGGAGTTCCTGCTAGTAGGTTTCCTGGGGGATATGGGTATGGTCGAGGCGGTGTAGGTACTGAATTTGGAGGAGGGTATGCTGGCTATGGGGGTGGTGGTTTAGGAGGTTACCGGAATGAACCTCCCCTTGGCTATTCTAGTCGTTTTGGACCTTATGGGAGCGGTTTTGGTGGTGAGGGTTATGGTGGTGGAGGTTATGGTGGTGGTGGTGGTTATGGTGGAGGATATGGTCGTGGAGGAGGGGAAGGCTATGGGGGATATGGTGGTGCAGGTTATGGTGGTGCATTTGAATCTGGTGGTCCAGGTGGCAGTTATGAAGGAGGAGGTGGTGGTCCATATGGGAGGGGTTATAGTAGCAGTAGTCGATACCATCCTTATGCAAGATAAGTAGCACCAAATCAGAACCTTTGGTAGACGCTATAGAAGCTTCTCACATGTTTCTCTAGATTCGCGTAGTTGCATTCTAGAGGGATACTAGAGTAATCATGTAGCGCGCCCACATCAGGAAGGATTGCTAAGGACAGGAAGAGTATTAAAAAAAAAAAAAAAGGTTTTCATTTCCATGTTAGACATCTTCTAGTGTGTGTTTTGTCTAATTTTTAAGTGTTGTCTTATCTCTTAACTTAGATTGTGTTATTTAGACTTAAGCATATTTGGGTTTGGAGTTTGTTTTTTCAAGAATGATTTAGAGTAAAAAAGCCTATTTATAATTTGGTAGTCTCGTTAGATGATCAATCACTCACTTTTAGTCCCCCTCTTCTATACACTTAGTTTTCATAATCATACGAATTAGTTTAAGAATCTCTCTTTAGATATTCCATCACTCACTTCTAGTCCCCCTCTTCTATATGCTTAGTTTGCATAATCATACGATTTAGTTTAAGAATCTCTGCAAATGATGCATTCGTTATTCTTTAGTGCTCAAATCGAATGCTTTTTGTGGTCTACCGTACATTTTGTTGGTAACGAAGGCTAGAGTCTAATTAGCTAGGCTTACTTTTAAGCTAGTACGTGTAAGCAGGTTTTTTGTCAATTGCGTACGTGTAGGTTCGAGGTACAAATTGGAAATATATCGTAATTGTATGTGTTTCAAAGTTAACGATTTAAAATCAGTTTTCTGTATTCAATGATCAAAGATATATTGTAGCACGGGAATGATAATTGGTAAAATGTTCGTCTTGTACTGACAATGTGGATTTTGTTATCTATAATTTCTCATCAAAATTACTTTTATGAATCAATTAAAGATAAAATCTATATAAGTCAGTACATTTAAGCTGTCAAACTTGATAAAAAAAAAAATCTACTCGATGTCGGAATCTCACTAAATCGGTGAGAAATCATCTTTAAAGGCCCAAAAGAAATCGATTAAGGCGAAGCGTTGCAATGCAGAAATGATTCTCCAAAATCTGTATTTTAAAAGGCAAACATCTATTTACAGTAAAGCAAACGACAATCTCGGATATTCAGAACCTCAAAAGACTATTTTTAGATATATATAATTTTCCACTTGTTTTTCCAATTCTAAAACCTTTTTTTCTTTTTTACAGTTTCATAATATGTTCATTGTCAACTATTTGTAGAGTTTCTCTCTATTTGTAAAAAGGTAGAAACCA